TGGTGTTTTAGCAAAAGGATAAAAGATGGAAGTAGGTACTCATTGCAAGAAAGAAGATAAATTCAAAAAAAATGTGTAAGTCAGTGCCTTAGTGGCGTAGCGTGGCTGGGCGGGGGGCCCCGTATGAAAAGATTTTTTGGGGGCCCTTATAAAACTAAAACATTTATTTTGTCACAAGAGATTCTTTTTTAATAATAAATTCTGTGAAAATTGTTAAACTTTCCAATAGATACACAACTCACTCTGCTCTGACGTAAACATCGTTTATTTTGACTCTTGTGATTACTGAAAAATAAAAATAATTGAGAGTACCTATAGAGTTCGTAGAGATAATTATCATGAAATTCATATAGGCAGGTATACATATCTAAGAGAACCCGGTGCCTCCTTCAGGTGCGGATGGTGGCCACCGGGAGGTTTAAGTGAGGTAGTTTTATCCCACACTCCCTAGCCTTTCTTCTCAAAAAGCTAGGCGCCGTTTGAAGCTTTCCTACCGTCAAAAAAAATGGTATACCTACATACATAATTATGTACCTACATACTTTCATAATTTTGTTAAAAATCTCACGTATTGAACATGATACGGTTTGAGCGGTCCAATCATTGAACTTACCTACAAACCGCGTACGATTAGCAATGTTTGGATCAAGGAAGTAGGTACTAGATTAGCTATGTGGCGTACCTATCACAATCCACGCGTAGGTAAGTATATTAAAATATGTTGATATTGTTGTACCTCAACCTGATCACTACAGTGCAAGCTCCTTTGCACCCGCCACTAAGGCCACGCTTAGTCATTCAATCATCATACATATCATCGACATGGTGGTTTCCATTGTAGAAAGGCCCAGATAACGAGTAGCACAAGCACAAGTACAAGCACAAGCACTAGTAGCACTACGACCACCACGAGTACAACGACTACTACGACTACTACTACATCTGCCCCAAGTACCACCAGCTCGACGACAACGACCACCACGACTACGCCTCGCCCGACGACCACAACCACCGAGGCTCCGAGGCCGTTCCTGCAACTATTACCCATTCAGCTACCTCAAGCAACGACCCAAGCCAGCGCGCCAGTAAAGACTAGTAGGTATTACTTACGTTACTTTGCCTATAAATATTACATTGTACATTTTTGAATTAAGTAAATACCTACATCATTTACTTAATAAGTATTAGGTATACTTGGTAAGGGTGAGCTATGTACTTATGTCCTTCTTAGTAATTTACTTACCTAGTACATTACATACTAATATTTAAATAGATACATATACAACTTGTGGGTTTGAAATTAATCTGGAACATTTACTGCTACCTTTTTGTCAAATAATATAAACAAAAGATATTTCGATTCTTTCGGTTTATGTATACAGTGAAAACTTCAACAAATCTCCAAGGCTGTTCTTGAAAATATAGGACTTGGCCAAACGGAACGCTTGCACAATAATAAAACCTTAAGTAGCAAGAAATGATTCTTAATTATTAAGTAGCTTAGTTATTTTATTATTTATATTGTTTTACAGTTAAGTACCTACATTATCATTACATAATATTAGTTACTTACATGCATGCCTATACATCTGTACAGTTTCTGCTTCCTATTAAATATTATATTATTATGACGTTCCATTCTATGGCATTGCAGTACCTATCTATGGCATCAGCAACTAGATATTTAGGAACAAACCATTAATTGAAATTAACCGGTATAAGGCGGGGCACTCACCGATTTAAACTCGATCATAAACTATATAATATTATCCTCACAGAAGGATTTAAATGCACCCGGGTACCCCTTCCCTCTCAGCTTCCAATGCCTATGTATGTATGTATGGCATGTACGCATATATGCGTACTACATGCCATACATACATACATATTATATACTAACTCGAACGTAGGTATCTGTCGCGGAAAACCTAACGGGTAACCGGGGCTCCGGCTCGACGTGCAGGAGAAGGAACGGGATGGTTTTTAGTCAGTAAGAGTCTGACACTCCCTCCCGCCTCACGTAGGCGGGAGCAGCCATTCGATAATTTAGCCCCCTTAAAAAAAAAACGTAGGTACCTACTTAGTTAGTTGGTATGTATGTTTATCATATGTATAGTTCTATCCATAAAAATATAAGTAGCGTTGTATAATGTACAATGTACCATGCCACTAACCTAGAACATAACAAAGGCTTCTTGATAATGAACTAGGTGTATATTGTTCTTCTTAGGCAATGCCATAACTGCTGACGTAACTTATTCACGCTCACACAATTCTGGTTCGGTTTACGGGTATAACGTGGATTACTCGAGTACAGGCAAGACGCAGAAACTGGTGTGCCCTAAACCTGGACAAGCACCAGTGGTGCTGTTTCCAATCCTGTGCGAGAAAAACTCGCAATGCCGCGCGACTAGCGGACCCGATCAAGTGTGCTGCGAGGGACGCTGCGTGAAAGGTGTTCCGGCGCCGCGGCCTACCTCGAAACCTAAATCGCACCAACGTATGTTTTTTTTTCCTTTAAGCACTTAAAGTAATCAAGTCACGAATTACGTAACTCTCGCACCGGTTTACAAGTTGACCTGAGAAAAATGAATGTGCACCGTGGTGCGTGTTGCACATACCTACCTATTACCTAGGGTGTTTATAACCAGTCCATTAAAATTTGTGGTAAGTAATGGTGATAAAAATTACGTAGGTACCTACCTATTATTTTTTGTAGGTACAAAGTATTTTCAGGTGGGTATTTATAACAAAAGACTTCTTTTTGAAGAAATGACCTTATGCAATGCATTTACGTGTATTATGTACTTATTTAATTATAGCGTTATTGGGTGTTATTCCACGAGAATGCCCAGCCACACCGCTCGGAGAGTTGCTGTTTGAAGTGCAAACTTGCAAGACAGACGCCGACTGCTGGCCGCGAATCTGCTGTCCAGATGGTACCCGGTCCTACTGCCGCACAGCCAAAGCTAGACTTGATCTTGTGCCTGTTGCTAACCAAATTGACGGACGTAAGTACTACCTACTGTGTAATCTTCGATCTTATATATTTATCCCACAGATATATTTACTTCTCTGCACTTACCTATGGTTGACTGTAAGAGAATGCCTTAAGGCAGTGTTTTTCAAACTGTGGGTCGCGACCCCTAGGGGGGTCGCGAAGCCTTACTCGGAGGGTCGCCGACTGGAAGAAAAACGTCACCACCGAGTCCGCGGACCCGCCGGTCAGACAGGCGTCATATGATCCACGTTGGGCGCTGAGACAGCTGGACCGGGAGGTTTTCCTGGAAGCCGCAATTGTGCAGGCCTGGGTGATACCACCGGTCGGACGGTACTCAACGAGTTATATCGCGCGTAGCTTTAACAACTTACCTCGTACTTACTTTCAATACTCTCGCAGCTTCTTGCAGAGTAGACCTGAATAATTGATAAAGGTACCAAAATAGTAGAAAAAAAATCATTAACGTAAGTATGTAGTCTTAATTTAATTTTATTAGTTCTTAGTCTTTCTATGACACAAGGGGGTCGCCAGATTTTCTCAACTTGTAAAGGGGTCGCGAAATCAGAAAGATTGAAAAACACTGCCTTAAGGCATTAAGTCCGCCATTCACTGTTGTGTTGTGAAGAAGAAATAAATAAATATATCTGTGATTTTGCCAGTCTAGGTAGGTAGGTACTTCAAGTGCTTCGTTTATAGTAGTCCCAAGCACGTGTGCAGAGCAATAGTTTCGACTTTATCATAAAATGTCAGTGAAAGGGAAAGTGGGTGCAACAATAGGCTCGCCACTTTAAGGAATTTAAAATAATTGACGAGGATCTCCTTGTAGAGCACCTCTGCCTTTAACTACCTAATAAACGGACTACACCCGCGTTATTACCCGCGCTATTTTAAATACGTGAATACGTTTAAATTATTATGTTTTCGGCTTACTCACGTAGTAATTTGACGAGGAACTCTACTAGTTTCAAGCCATGCTAGAGGCTCATAGACATGAGCAGCATTTCGCGACCTGCGACGCGGCGACTGTCGCGCTGCTCACACTACGTGAGTATGCCGAAAACATAATAATTGATTTAGTATGTCTCACGAAAGTTACAATACAAACGTGAATACGTTTATTTTATTATGTAATAAGGTGTTTTCATTATTTTACAGCGGTGCGGATGCTTGAGCAATACTTGCAGTGCACACCACCTCCACAGTATGACCTATTCCCACAAAAGTGCAGTTCCAGTGTGGACTGCTTCCCGAACCTGTGCTGCGCAGAAGGCGGCAAGAAGCACTGCAGGCCACCACAACGTAGTCTTATAGCTTTGCTGGCTGGAGTTGGACAGGTATGCACCAACATCGTTGTGCAACTATGTGCAGCAACTAGCCTTTGAGAGATAAGTATTCAGCATAGATCTACATCTGTCTGTGGTATTCAGAAATCCTCAAATTTTTGGTAACTCTTAAATTATGCTTAAACAATTATTAGTGAAATAATGGCAAACTTTTACTTAAGCAACCATTGTTCAGCAGCGTATGTCTTACCGATGATAAGCAATACTAGTGACCGCCGAGATTCGAGGAAGAACATTTGTTTTTTTAGAGTTGTAACTGTAAAACACCTGTTCCATATACATGCCCGCTGCTATGTAAAGTAACTGCCTTATTTAGAAATCTAGCTAAACTGAATGAACAGGACTCTGCCATTCTAGAAATAAAATGTTCTGTACCTGTCTGTACTTACAAGTTTGTTTTATTTTCAGAGAGTGGGATCTACTTTAGTCAACTTCAGGCAGGCGCAAAATCCAAATAATTAAAATGTAAATTATTATTGTGATAGTAATTAGGTTTTTATACTTTTGTACAGTTTTGTAAAATAAAATATTTACTTAAGTTATGTTTTATTGTGACCCAATCACCCCAAAGCTACTTCATCTAAAACTATTACATGTGGTATTTATTTTTGTGCAGGTTTATGGTTCAAGTAATGCAAAAATAAAAGAAGGTTTAACTTAATTTAAAGTTTATTGGTCATTTTAATCCAGCTGAAACAAAAGAAATCATGTTATTAGTTACCATAACATTATTAGAGTTTAAAATATTAGATTCAGTTTATAGGGCTGGCTCATGCAGATAACCATTTTAAACTGTCAAACACCAAGCGGTCACCAGTGACCGCAACCTATTGTTCTATAATTGTGTCTACAAAACCGGTACTCGACGAGTTAAAATTATTCAAATGCATAATTTAAATTAATATTCGCTCGTTATTACCACTTGACCATCACATCAAGGCATGTTATTTTAAGGCAGAAAAATGATAGTGATGGTGATGACCCACAGAGAAAACAAGTCAATGGTATTAATTTGATACAAAACACAATGATTTTCCCTTTAAAATTATAATATTAATTATTATAAACAAGCATAGTATTATTGTATAATGTAGATAGCAAACCCAGTGGTTGCTTGATCAGTATCAAGGTATTGTTTACTTGATTAGGGTTACATTATTACATAGGTACAACACAAATTATGTTATAGTAGACATCAAAATACATCTTATTATCATAATTTCCCTCATTTTGCTGTACAAATGTTTACATTCACGTTTCGATGACATTACAAGATAGGACAAGAATACAAGAAACCAGCCCAAATTTATCAATTCCTCACTGACACAGAGTGATGTAAATAACCATTATGTACGTACCTTCTTGAAACCGATGTCGTGAGCGTATTCCCTGAAGCACTGTCTGCAGATGTTGAGACCGTACTTGCGGATAAGACCATGTCTGTTGGAGCAGGCGCGGCTAAAACATAGAAACCAACCCTTAGAACACGTGCTCTAACCAAAAATTTACGTTTCATTGAATAATAATTTTTCTCAAAATACTTACCAAGAGCGAGAGCCCTGGCCATATCTGCGAGGGTGAGAGTACCAAATGTTAGCGTGACCCATTGTGCTAATTATTTAATTCTTGCGCTGTACGCAGAATGCAACACGTCCAAAATGGAGGCTACACCAAAAAGAACGAATGAGATAGAATTTGACACTAATCTTTTTTGACAATGACGTTAATTTTTTGATTTGATACCCAGGCTTTTAGCTATATATACATCGATAAAACTCTTTAATCTTTTAAGGTTCTAATCTAAGAAATACCTTATTTTTAGGTATCTGGTGATTGTAAATGACGAGATATGTTTTCTGAATGTTAAGGGTAAACGCAATAAAACAAAATGTACTATATACAAGGTCTACCTACACCAAACACCTACTCTGCAAGTGATTTAAAATAGAGTTTTCAATTTTAATCCTTACAATAGTAAAAATATGAATTACTTCACAGTGGTCATAAATACAAGGATTTATATTCTGAAATTAATCACAAGGACAAAGGGGTCATTGACCGAAACCTGCAGTCTAAAAATAAATAATTCTCTATGACATCATTGACGTCCTTGACATTGACGTGTTCGAATGTTAAGTGATGCACGGACGGAAATACAGAATAATCGATATTATTACAAATTATTAATTTACAAGTTGATTCTGCACTGATAAGATTTTCTTGACAAACATAGTCGCATTAATAATTGATTATAATTTTTTTTTGATTACATATTATATTTTTATTATTACTTATACATTACAAGATAAAAATTAATATATACAACTTAAAATATAAAAAAGGAAAATATTTACCCCTAAAAAAATAATAATATTAAATCATAAGGCATCAAAGAAAACATTTTCCTCATCGCTATCGTGAGGTAGGGTGCCCAAAAGACTGGCAGCATTGCCACGTTGAATGGCAATGCTTAACCTTTGCCCAAGGTAGTAGCCAGCCCATTGATTATTGGTGTAGTTGAATAAGATAGACGGTATATTTGCCATAATGATGTAATTGAAAAAGAAAATGGTACCGTAAAATGGGGTGAATAGCGATCGAGAGGTGAATAGGGACAGAAGAGGGGTAAATCGATACTATGAAGAATTTCCTTATATCTATTCACCCGTCTTCTGTAAGTACCTTTTCGCCGCTCAAACCCTATTCACCCCATTTTACTGTACTATCTCTGGAACTATCAGAAGAGCATACACTACTCTATCCAAATAAAAAATTAAAACTGTAAAGATGTTAACGAATTCTCAGAATTAAAGCAAATAAAGTTCGATTTATTTTATCAATCGATTATCAATTTTGTTGCACTTCACTACGATATGTCATGTTAGACAAAGACCAAGAACATGATACGACAGCGACACTCGGCAGACGAACGAACGGAACGGTTTACATATTTACGGTTCCTTCCTACTTTGCCAGTACGTTGTCGGCTCTGTGATCACAGTTTTTTAATTAATGGGGTATTTTGTAGATCATATATTAAAGGTGATATAAAAAAGGTATATTCAACTTATTTGTGCTGTTATTTTGTCTTTAATATTTGATTATAACTTTTAAATATTCGCAATTGTGAATCAATCGTCTAATGTATTCAAATGCCGTGCACATATTTCTGTCATTGGTTACCCTTAAACATAATCTGTTTGTGAATATACTTATGGTATTCTGCTATAAAGAAGACGATCTTAGAGCTTTAATCTTGAGCTAGATGATCTTGTCGGCCACGTTGACATGCTCATGTTGGCATTTTTTATATTCATTAAAACTTTCATACTGCTGAAACTTTCACATTATATTCAAGAACATTTTATTTTATTAAACTTCTCAGTACAATATGCTGATACAATCTGTCCGTGTATTCTTATTATTATGCTTTTGATTTTACTGTGAACTTGAATATTATAAATACTCTTCTTAGGACTTGTTAGATAATATTTTAACAAACAGTTAAAGGTCTGGAGATATCAACAAATTCATCTTCACTTTGTTCTAAGTTCTCAACATTGACTAAGTTTTAAATATTGTTAAAGTTATTAAATATTACAATATGTACCTACTGCCTGTTATCTTATATTGGTTCACTTAAAATTGATTGTATCTTGTAAAACACTTTTACTCAGAAATTACAGATATGTGATAAACAAATTAATTTAGTTACTTAAAGATTAGATTTTATTAAAAATGTACCTACGTACATAATGTGCCTTGACTAGCATAATACAACATTATTTTTTATTTCAACAGGTACCTATCATCCATAATGGGGTTCATATTTAATTTCATTAAGAGATTATTTACAATAACCATAAAGACTGTTTTCTTTTTGGTTCTTATATCTGCCATCATTGTTCTCATACCCAACTTCCCACCGTACACAAAGTTCACCAGCATTGAGTAAGTGCACTTTCAATAAAATATTAATAAGACATATTATTCCTATTTAGATTTTTTTGTTTATTACTTCTTTATTTTAGAATACAATCTCCACAACCAAGAGTTGGTCCACTAGCTACCAATGGGGCCTTAAACAATTGTGGAAAACTGTACTCTGGTAAACTGTTGGGACCTGAAGCCTTCCAGATATACAAAGGCGAAGTATACACCAGCTTGGCTACGGGAGAGATTGTGAAACTGTCTCCACAAGGTCATGTTACATTTGTCACCAAAATTGGGGAACCATGCAGTAAGTACTATTGAAAATGAGATCATGTCATATTGTTTTTTCCATTCTGAGGTTCTGTTTTCACCACTCGATCTAATTTTGTTTTCAATTATTCAAGCCATTTACATTTGACCATTGTATTCAATATATAAATTTAAATTATCAAACCATGACAAATAGTGAATTATTTGTATTCAGTTTCATTATAGTATACATCATAAAATTACTGATTAAGAGCTAAATGAAACTATACCCATTTTGTGTTTTCATGGATACATTCAATAATATTTATTTCAGGTGGACTTGTTAATGAGCACATTTGTGGCCGACCACTTGGCTTTGTGATTGATGATAAAGATGGAAACTTATATGTAGCTGACGCATATTATGGTATTTGGAAGGTAAACCTGAACACAAATAAAAAACAACTTCTAGTGTCTTCAAGAGTTTCCATACAGGACCGCCTGCCTAAACTTTTTAACTCAGTGGCCTTGGCTAAAAATGGAGATTTATACTGGACCGACTCCACCAGTGATTTTGGACTAAAAGATGGAGTAATAAGCTCCATATGTGATCCTTCAGGAAGGTAATGCTAATTCCTATTATGAATTTTCTTTATTTTGAACCTTTAAAGCAATATTAATGTATTTAATTTGTAATTATTTAGATTATTCCATTATGATGCTGCTAGAAACCAAAGTAAAGTACTTTTGGATGACTTGTGGTTTGCAAATGGTGTGGTTGTGTCTCCCAATGAAGATTTTGTTTTGGTCTGCGAGACATTCCGTAGCAGATTAATGAAATACTATCTCCGTGGACCTAAAAAAGGACAGTCGGAAGTTTTTGTGGATGGACTGCCAGGTAAGAAGTTATTGGCATTATTTAGTCTCAAAATCACCAGTCACGTCATGTCCTTCATACTATTGATTTAATGCACATGATTCACAACTATTTGTAACTGTCTGGCATTTCTAAACCTATTATTTTTCTTTTTCATGGCTTATGAATTCTTATTGCTTTATTCATTGAATTGTTGACTGGAAAATCATAAAATTATATTATTAATCTTAGAGAAAATCACCGTATTATATTAATATATTTAATATAATATACACGTAAATACGCGTAAGTACACGTAACTGTCTCTCGAAGTGATTATTTATATAACCAACCAACAAAACATTTGCTGACTAACTAACTTATCAATAAATCTTGCGTAGTCCATATCTTTCAAAAGCATTTAATATTTGCACAAGTTTTTGATCATGATTAAGTAATATTGGTCTGGCTAAAACTTGTAAAATAATATTTTATCATTAAAATGGATTATCATTCCATTAATCTTGTAAATAAAATAATTATTTAGTTTTGTATTATTAATTAACACTAAGGTCCACAGTCCAAAGATTTTAGAATTTATTCCTTAGATAATTTTTGTTTTTAGTATAATAAAATAATATTATTTATCATAGTATTTTTAAGTTTATTTTAAAGAGCTAGGGATAAGTTCAGTTATTTATAAAATAATATGAATTAATTACCTTGTTATAACCACACGTAGGTATTACCTACTAGTGTTTATTTTACACTATTTACTGACATTATCATTTGTTGTGTCGTGATGAGGTCATGTATATATAGGAGAGCCATAATATTCTCTATTAGCATGGAACTAGTTGAACACAAATAATGTATGTAAACAATTTCATGTCAGTAGTCAGTGCCATATAGGAATTCAAAAAGTGTATTTTGTAGTATTAGTATATGTAATTTATTTTAATAACATTTGATTGCAAGCAAAACTTCATATTTATCGTCTAGTAATTAGGTAATATTCAATAAATGTCTTTGTATCCAAGATGGTCTCGACTGAACAGTTTCTTGATCATATAAACTTGCAACATTCCCACAACAAACATCAAGCTTATTTGAATGCCTGACCAAACGTCGACAATGAATGTGTCTTCGAAAGCCAAGTAACTGTCGCGCGACTTGGTCGCAGCATATATGCTAAGCAGATGTCGGGACTTGACCACGTGCGCTAACGTGACCGACAAGGAATCTGCGATTTTACCCACTTCCAAGTAGTAACTCTCACCGTTTTCATCTGTTCCCTCCCATTCTAATACTTCTTTTGGTTCGGCTCCGTCGCCTTCACCGTCGTTCTGTTCATCTCCGCTGTCACTTCCCGCCATTTTGGCTCCTACGTCACTTTGAGTCACTCCATTTTTGTCTTCTACTAGCACATACAAGAACACAAGTTTAGAATTCATCATACTATACGTGTTGTCCATACAGAATGCGTAATCTCCGTCCATTTCCAAGTCCATGATAATAGAGTTTTCAGAACTTTTATAATCCGTCAGTAGAGTAGCATTCTTAGGGTCAATAACTTTGAAATTAATATCCAAATCTCCATGTTGTCCGTCCAGTACCTGGTAGTACACTTCCAACATCTGTCCAGCTTTCCCTGTTTCGTAGACACACATCTCTATTCCTGGTTCTATTCTGAAGTTAACGTCACTCACGTATATATTTTGTCCATAACATTTTGGGTATGAGAATATTGTTGCAAATAAAAATAAATTAATGTAAAACATTATTGTAGTTGAAGCGACTTAGAAGTTACTGTTGAAAGTAGCGTATGTAGAACATGGTGTTGGTAGTTCGTGACGTCATTATTGAAACAGGTGCTCTATAATAATTATTGTGGTTACTACGGTCGACATACTATATTCATCCGTTTAATTTTTACAACTCATATTGACTCGATGCGTTCTTTCCATCTGTACAAACAGGCGCCCCCGACAATGCGCGTCCCCTGCCTGACGGCTCTGGTATCCTGGTTGCGCTATACACTGTATTCGAAGAAGACCGACCACCCCTAACGAAATTGATGGCGGCCGCGCCATTAGTTAGGAAGTTGGCAGCGCGTCTTCACAGACTTGTCGAGATACCGTTGGAATATCTTAACAGCCTTTCCCCAAACATCATATTTGAAGAAATCATATATAGCGTAAGTATATAAAGTTAAAAAGTATAACACTTTTATGTACCACATTTTATTTATGTACAAAATTTAATAAAAACTTAAATAAAATTAATACTGACTATTACTAAATTAAATATATACAACTTCAGATAAAAATTAATTAAAATAAAACTAACAACAACTGTTATATATACCTGTAATTTATGTACCTACTATATACTTACTTCTAAATGATTAAATAGTAATGTAAGCTGTAAAACTTTCCAGATTGGACACTTCAAAACTTTGACTGGCATAGCTCCACAAATGGCTGGACTTGTTCAATTGGATTGGGATGGAAATATTGTGGCTACATATTATAACACAGACAAATCGTTAGGCCCCATCAGTGACGCCATTGTGTTCAATGGCAAGCTGTACACCGGTAGTCCTCATACGCAAGACTATGTCGGAGCAGTAGATGCTCCTCCTCAGCTAAAGAAAGCATTCGAATCTTTCAAACAAGCCGAAAGTCCTAAAGTTGAGACAAAGCCAGTTCAACAACCACCCGTGAAGAAGACTGAAGAAAAACCTAAAGCTGCCCCTAAACCTCAGCAAGAGGCCAAGCCCACGACACCACCACCGACTAAACCTACTGAAAAGACTACTCCTCCTCCACCTAAGCCTGTCGAAAAGACTACTCCTCCACCACCTAAGCCTGTCGAAAAGACTACTTCTCCACCACCTAAGCCTGTTGAAAAGACTACTCCTCCACCACCTAAGCCTGTCGAAAAAACTTCTCCTCCTCCACCAAAACCTGCCGAAAAGACTCCTCCTCCTCCACCAAAACCTGCCGAAAAGACTCCTCCTCCTCCACCAAAACCTGCCGAAAAGACTCCTCCACCTCCACCCAAACCTGCTGAAAAGACTCCTCCACCACCAAAACCTGTAGAGAAAGTTTCCCCACCACCACCGAAACCGGCGGAAAAGGCTACTCCGCCTCCACCAAAACCTGCAGAAAAGGCTACACCTCCACCAATAAAGGTTGCTGATAAGACTAATCCTCCTCCACCACCAAAACCTGCGGCAAAGGCTTCTCCTCCACCACCTAAGGCTGCGGAGAAACCTTCCCCGCCACCACCAAAACCGGTAGAAAAGACTGCACCTCCACCACCAAAGGCAGCCGAGAAACCTTCCTCGCCACCTCCTAAAGCCGCTGAACCTAAAAAAGAAGAACCCAAAGTTCAAACTGCAGAAACTAAACCCAAACCAATAAAGGAGGAAATTCCGTCAGACACCATCAAACCGACTAAGGAAACTTTAAAAGTCATAAAGAAGGATGGTCCTGCTGAAATCCATGTGCCTGTTCAGTAAGTTAAATATGGTTGTGGTATTTTAATTTAAATGTAATAGATTAAAGATCTCTCAGAAAGGAACAAAACATGTGGGAACTTAAAGCATTGGGTGGGTTAATAATAATTAATTACAGTTCTAAAATATTATTAAGATCTGCAAACTGCATTTACATACTCATGTAAAGTACGATTGTGTACAATAATATATACTCTTTCCCTAGTAACATAACACGCATTACTTAGAAATTAAATCTTCACGATGTAGTAAAATAATTTTCTAACTTTAAATATCTGTAGGGGTGGGGTCAACGGAGTATGCTCCTCTTTAAAGTTTCATGAAAAATTACGATATTTTTGTAAAGCAGTTGTTGAGCTATACTCGTATGGTCCCACCACGATGTTACTATTACTACACTACGCCACTAGATCTAGGCCCATAGGCGAATAGTTGCACTGATTTATTACCTAGTTCACATTCCTTTCCATTCCAACCTTTATTCTTAATTATATAATGTTGAGTATTTGTATTATGCTAAACTTTTACAACCCTTGTTACTTAACTTTGAAAGGATGCGGTTCTTCATATGTTAGAATCTATTTTTTTATAATTGTGATATGTGTGATTTGTTAACATTTATTGGACCAATTTTTTAATGATAAAAATAATTCAACATCACTTTAAATCTTTTGCTGCTGATTGAAGAGATAACTTGAAATATATGCAAACATAGATACATATATTATTTTAAGGAATCTTAATGATATAATATAATAATGTCTAGTGCAAAATTATTGTACCTATTGTAATCACCTCACTTGTTACATGTTGTACAGTTTATCGTTACTCGTATTGTTAGTTACCAGTCACCAATTAGTGCAATTATAAATGTTTATTTCAAATTATTTACTACAAATATTTATATTGTTGTTATATCAGTCAACACTTTATTAGAGCGAAATTCCAATATTATATTAGAGCCACGATAAAATGTTAGTGAATGGGATTATATTATGAAAATAGTGAGTGAATTATTATTTATTAAAAAGAACGTGTTTCTGAGAAAGTGTCGTACTGTTTTATTTTGTCATAAGTATAAAGCTATATTATGTAAAATGTTATACACAGTAACAAGTACACTGGTAATTCTATCCGAAAGAAATTCATATAAAAAAGCAATATTTGATGTTTAAGCAATAAAATATATTTTTATTACATTATGTACATTTATATATTAAAACATTAAAAAATAAACCTATCTTTATATTGTACCGACGCTTATATTCACACAACCTCGTTATTACAGAAATGTGTACACAACTGCACGTTACAAGGTTTTTAGTCCGATTTCCGGGTTTAGACTCCTCTATGCAACTTTATTCCTTAAGAAATTATATTAATTAATTTTATCCGTTGTATGTATACACTTAGCTTAAGAGTTTGTTAGTTTGAATTCACTAACTACAAGAATTACTGATTCGAATTGAATAATTCATTTTATGTATCTAACATATCCTTGTATCGAGTCCATTGATCGAGGAAAACTATAGACCTATAAAACATCACACTATGTTGGATATAGCGACAAGATGGCAGATGGATTTAAGTTCTTTTTTCTGGTAAAGGTTTGAAAATGTCGCCGGTGGTCTTGTCAAAAACTCTTATGTCACAATGATGGAAGCAAACTGATAGATGGTAGGTACAAAAAAAAACGGAGGCCCATATGCTCAAAAGTGTCAGCCACGTCTGAGCTGATTGTTGCTGATGACATTGATTGTAATAGAGCCTATGGGGAAAGTCAATGTTTATTGATACAGGGTTTAAACGGAAATTTTAATCGTTATTGTTTTCGTGTTGTATAAGTAACACTAGCCTTGAGCAGTTGGTTACAACTATTATTACATCTAATATATAAAATTGTCAGTGTAACAGTTTTCGTTGCCATACTCCTCCGAAACGGCTTGACCGATTTTGATGAATTTTTTTTTGCTTATCCGGTATCTATGAGAATCGGCCAACATCTATTTTTCATCCCCCTAAATTTATTTTTAATTTTTAGACAACATTTTTAATTTCTATTTTTTATGATAATAAATACAATCCTCAATTTCACCCATCTACGAAATTATTTATATGGCAAAACAATGTTCAGCTAGTATAAGAAACTAAATTCTATTTTTATGAATAATAATAATATGAAAATAAAACTTGTTTTTGACCATCACCTGTCGGCGTTTGTTGGGAGCGTTCCGTTTACACCCTGAGGTATAAATAATCTTTGGCATCCAATAAAACGATAAAATTAGTTTAATTTCATTTACTTTTGTCAAGGAAAATATTATGAATAATATGTTTACAATATAAAGTGAGAACATAAGTATTATCGACATAAAATACGAGCTGTGAACGTGCGATTCAGGCATGGGCCATCGCGTCACACGTAATGCTTTACAAATAGTTAACACAAACATTTGCAGAGTATGTGAGAGCTAATTAATTATTATATAAAAATTGTTCACGCGTAACATATACAATGGAATGTAAAAATTTTCATAACAGAGCTTACTTACATACACAACGTTAAAAAGGCATTTCTAAGTTTGGATAGTTCTTCTCTTAATAAGTTAGGGCAATTCTGGTCCTGCCAAATAGAAGAGATCACAAAGGAGAAATACAAGTGTTACATATCCTATTCATAATACTTCTTTATTCTCAATAAATATTACTATGTACATTGGAAATATTAACACTATTTGGTGTCTAATTCAATTTATTGCATTAATATTCAATTCACTTTTCCGCGCTATCTCCTAATATCTACACTTATTATTTCAACTTGAACGCCACAATTTTTATACCTGTATTAGTCGATCCTCCGTACATTCGGTACTTGTAATAAAAATTGGCATATGAGCGAGCCCTACGGTAATCTGATAAAACAATCTTCTTGTATGTAAGGCAAACCGTATTAGCATGTTTTATTTTCACCATAATTGATGAAATAAGTCTTGTCTATCCTATCATGTGAGCAAAAGAAGGCTGTTGCTAAATAAACACTTGTTCTGCTGCTAGCGCATCCGCAAACGGCTTGACGACGCACCGCGTAGCGAAGTAGAATATTAAACCGAACGTTATTGAAATTGGAAGCGCCGGCAACGCTTTCTTGAGTATTGCTAGCAGAAGGAGTGTTAGACACAAACCCTGTTGACAAAACAAAATCATATTATTATAATTTCGAGCACATGTGAGCCAAGAAGTAGAATGCTCACGTCAAACTGTCAAATACTGAGATAGTAGTCAAACGTCGGCCCATCAAAAATATAAAGAAAATAAACTGAATGAATAGTGTAAAATAATACGCACAATTAATATAGCTACAAAACAGGCGAGCGTTGTGTTCCAGTCTCCGTAAGAGCTGGCCTTTCCGACCAACACGCTGTAGAATATGAAGTCACCCAGCCCGAGCTTCACACCCTCTGATAAGAAAAACAGCATAGTTAAGGTACACACACAGTCAATCTGAGTGATATTACACCAAAGTGTAAGAAAAAACTACACATATTTACCTACTAACTGAATAAAGAACAGCAATATTAACTGAAAATGTATGTTTAGAGCTCAGGGTTGTAATCTAATGTAATTAATGAACAATCGAAAAGTAATGGTGGTAAACAAATACTTACTTTCTTCGTCGTCAGCGCCAGGTTGCGGCGCGGCGTGCGCGGTGTTGGGGCGGTCGATGCGCGTGGTGTACCGCGGCGGCTCGGCGCGCTCCACCGTGTCCACGCGCAGGCGCCGCTGTTGCTGCGCGCGCGCTCGCCACGCAGAGTCGAACCCGGCCGCGTCGCCACCCGCCCCCGCCGCCTCGTTCGTCTCGTTTTCCCGGGAACCTAAACAAAACATACTTTTAGAATATCTTGATCAACGCCGTGCTTTACCTCATTTGTAAATTTACTACATATAACCAATTTTTGATTGTTGTTATACCAGTCATCTGCTGCAGAGTAAATATTTTTAAATAAACAGCGGCTCGGAAGAAGTAAGAGGTAAAGCTTTAGTCAAATAGAATGTTAAAGATGTAGTTAAAATGCATGTGAGTGACAGTAACAGCCTAATATGGGATGCGCAAGTGGGAAGTGGGGAGACGGACCGTGTGGGTTGAGAGGACGCAGCTCACGAGCGCGCGGCTCACCTGCCGCGCCGGCCGCGCCCGCCCGCCCCGCCGCGCCCGTCGAGCTCGGCCGCGTCTCCGCGCCGCCCTCAGTACCGCCCGTCGTCGTCGCCGCCAGGCAGTACATAACCGTCGCTGAAATTATCACAAATATCAATTTCTTACTTTGCGTTGCTGAAAAATATTCTCTTCCTATTCTTAGATTTGGTAGGTTTGTGTCCAATATATGAACAGAAAATACGAAATTAATGATTTCCAAGGCTAAAAAGTAGGATTTTTATTCCGAAATTCTCAGTTGTACCTGCCAAAAATAACCGTTTTTTGTCCGTGTTTCGTGTCATACAAATGTGAGTATTTTGTCACCTAGCATTATTAAAATTCCATAGAGGCATAGCTTATAACAGGTACAAATGTAATGTAACACTATATATCATTAGTAATTCAAACAGCCTTACTTCATTGACACACTTTTTCAAAGTAGCAACTAATCAATAAATGTTTAAAGAGAATTCCAATCAATACTCACATGAATAAATTAAGGCAGGGAATATTGGTTCGTTTCGTTCTTGTGCTGTTTCTACTAGTATTCTTAAAGGCCCTTTTGGAGTTAACACTGCTATTAAATCTGAAAAAGTGACATTAGAACATGAGAATATTTCAATTTTGGTAGAATATTACACTTGATAAGTTTAACATAAGTTATACTGCTTACCCCAAATAGATATGACAGCTAGAACAGCCCAAGTGGTCCACTCAGGCAGGTACTTGATAAAGACAAGAGCCATTAGTGCCGCAATGAATATAAGATAGGCCTGCTGCAGCCTCAATGGCCCCTTCCAGTGGATCACAATCATACCCACTACACCAAAGTTCCACATGCCAAATAATAATGTTATGTAGTCCATTGGAATGTTGTAGGCTCTTAAGGCTTCCCTGAAAATTACACAAGTCATATTAGGAACTTGTTTAAAAAATGTTTTCAAGAATGAAAAAAAGAAAAATATTACTTCTTAAAATAAACAAATATTAATAATGATTCTATTAAAATGTAAAGGAGGAAGGAAAGAAGAACAATTGCCTGGTTCTTTTAAATTATTGTTTTTTATTCCCAATTAGTAGATGTTGTGCTTAATGAACAATGGTAAATATAAATGTGTACATTTTAACAGTAAAATGGAGTGAATAGGGTTTGAGCGGCGAAAAGGGACAGAAGAGGGGTGAATAAGGAAATTCTTCATAGTATTCATTCACTCCTCTTTTGTCCCTATTCACCTCTCGATCCCTATTCACCCCATTTTATGGTACATAAGCATATTTATATTATAAATATTAACATTAAATAAATCTAAACTTATTTAAAACCATTACTACTATATTATTTTTAGATATTCCTACTTCTCTCTCATATTTTTGTTCAAACAACACTGTGATAGGCTTTACATCTCTATAATTAATTGGAATGAAATATTATAAGTGGAGAAACTACAATTTAAACTACTCCTCAATCACCTTTGCTTTTATAGTTTTACTGTAGAAAAAATGTTATAGGGAGTTAGTTAAATAAATACTCACTCAATATATAAATATGAGAACAAGAACAGCAACATGAGTGAGGATAATATGAGCCACCCGTGAATGATCTTGTAGCATCTCTTCTTGTATAGTACTATGAGTAACACAGTCATTAAGGCAATCACACTGAGCAGGATCAGTGAGTTGGCAAGAGCATTCCATACTTTTGTCACTGCATATGGACTTTCCTCATGAAAAGGTGTGTAGGCTCTGGAAACACATGAAACATTAATGAAAAAAAATTACTTAAAATAAAGATATGGTTTTGTACTGTTAAAATACTTACAAATATACATCTTTAACTGAATAAAAATTGATTGATGATATTGTTGCGACCACAACAAGCATACAGAGAGTGACAGGCACAAACAGTTTGATGACATGGCGGGCTCCATATTTCAGTTCTAGCTCCTCAAGTTGGGGCTCTGGTGGGGGCGGTGGCGGGGCAGCATTGGGGGCTGTACTGCCGCCCGACCCTGAGGCAGCACCAGAAACTCCATCAACACTCTGAAAAGAATAAAAAATTTAAAGTATTGCTTATAGATAAACTTTTAAAAATCACAACATAAAGTATGGCAGCACAATTTAAAGATCCAATCACATAAATGTGGTGCATAGTATAAATTGGCACACGTTCAATTTACTATGTTGCAGCTTGCAGTCACATGCCTGTCATGAAATTATTACCTCTGTCTAAATCAACTAAACGAAATTCAAAACATAAGCATCGAAATCTAAACAATACTAACTGTCATTTTAACAAGACTACTGTAACAAACTGTTATTTACATTGATGTAAATAAATGTTGTTACTATTTTATGTAAATAGAAAGTTAGGCAGCAGTAAACAGCAAATATTAATGTTGTAATGTGAAGTTTAGAAATGTCTCGTACATACAACTAGACTTTTAAGGAAATACTACACTTTTTCATCAATTTCGATAGTGGGTGTTGACTAATGGTTTAGTCATAGATTGTGTCTGAAATGCAATTCCATATACGTAATTGAAATGTAGTTGTGGAATGAATAATACTTACACCGTATGATCGCTGATTATCTGGTTTAGTTTTTCGTTTCTTCGCTATTCTTTCAGCGATCACCCGATCGGGACGAGCTTCTGCGATGTGGCCGTCCATGAGTGCCGTGTGCTCTGTCGCCTCCTCTGTTTCACTGCCGGTGTCACTCATTCAAAAATTCTTTGGGGCTTACGCATTATGTTTAAAACTGTTTTAGTAGTATTCAATGGCAGGGTGTCCTACTTGTGTATTCAATAAAACAAAGCTAAGCTAAGCAAACGTCCTACACGTCTCGAAAACCTATGTTTAGATTAATGCTGCGCTTTCATCCACAGATAATAAAAACCGTAAATTAAGCGGCAGGTGATGACAGTTTTGATTTCTAGGAAAATCGACTAATGAAAGAAAAAAATTTTTCAAAGGTTACAAAGTGTACAAATAATACTTTGTAAACATTCATTTAATAATTCTTAACGTGCCAAGCGCATCGATAAAATCGAAATTGAACTTACATTCGTTTAATTTAGAGCACTTTACCGGTATAGACTTATCGAGCGGGTCATTTCTTAAGTGATCATGATTTTGATATTGAAATTCATTAAATAAAATACAATAGATATTAATATTATCTACCCCGTCCCCACTAATCGTTTCCTACTATTGTATATACTCAAAATATTGGTCTTTACAAAAAACTATAACTTTATATTATAATGGTTATAAAGACCATTATAAAAGTTATAGTTATTCTGCGCGTAGATTTTTTTATAGGTGGATTAGTAAGATAGAAGGGAAAACAGGGAAGTACATTATTACTTATTTTTATCATATACAAAGAGTATAAGAAGTATATAGATTATAGACATCTTTAGAATCGCATTGTAAAAACTTCGAATGGTGTTATTATAATTACATAACATAACATCACGCCTTTTATCCCCGAAGGGGTAGACAGAAGTGCACATTATATCAAATAATTATACTGCCGTATAAGAAATAGATTTTCGTTCATAAAAACAATTGTAAAAATCAATATTGATATATAAAATTAATAATATTAAAAATGCAATAATATCATTATATAGCACATTTTATTGCGCGAAAAATATAGAAGACAGATGCAAAATTAATAATTAAACAACTATGTATATTATTAAATGGAAACTCTTTATAGGTAAAGTCCCTCAGGAGTGCCTTCCTTTTTGCGGTATAAGACACTCTCCTTTGATTTCTTGAAATCTTCATTAGTTACCTTCATTCGGCGTTCTCGTAACGCCATCAATCCAGCTTCAGTACAAATTGCCTGAAATATGAACATAGCATTAGAAAATGAGAAAGCTATAAATTATAATTCAGTTGAAATAAGACAAACAAAATAATACCTTAATGTCTGCACCAGACAGATCATCTTTGGACATAATAAGTTCAGATAAATTGACATCGTCAGCTAGAGTCATCCTTGATGTATGAATGGTGAAGATCCTTCTCTTAGTCTTCTCGTCAGGCAGAGGAAATTCGATTTTCCTGTCTATACGTCCGGGTCGAATCAATGCAGGGTCTAATGTCTCTATGCGATTTGTGGCCATGATTACCTGTGGATTATAAGGTATTTGTTAGTTTCGAATATTGCGAATAAAAATTTACTAACAGACTTAATATCGAGCATTTCCAAAAGGGTTAGGCAAACCACCCAGTTTTTACAAGATATGTTATGACTCCAATGTAATATAATATATTACATATTATGTAATGAACATGTCCAGACAAAACTATATCGGATTGATTGACCTTGCAAGACAATGTCTTACTTACTTTGACATCACCTCGTGAATCAAATCCATCAAGCTGGTTCAGTAACTCTAACATAGTCCTCTGAATTTCTCTCTCTCCACCAGAATTTGAATCATAACTGAAATATTAACATTATTAGAATCACAGTTACTAATTAATTTGATTTATTTAAGAATGAAATGTAATTTTTGTACCGTTTTGTGCCCACAGCATCTATTTCATCTATAAACACAATTGAGGGAGCATGCTCTTCAGCTACCCTGAATAGTTCACGAACAAGTTTAGGTCCATCTCCCTGCACAAATAAATATTACCATTAATTACATACATAATTTTCTTTTGATTAATTTACAAAATAATCACAAATTAAGAATTTTATTTTACCAAGTATTTCTGAATTAGCTCTGAGCCAACAACTCGCAAAAAAGTAGCAGAGGTCTGGTTGGCAACTGCTTTGGCTAACAAGGTCTTGCCAGTTCCAGGCGGACCATAGAGAATCACACCCTTAGGAGGCTTGATACCCATCTCTTCATAGTATTCTGGGTGAGTAAGTGGCAGTTCCACAGATTCCTAAAATAATATTATAATGTCAGTAACAAATCAATGTACTACAGAAGAAGTCTTATTGTATTATAGCATTCTTTACCTTAATTTCCTGTATCTGGGTGTCCAGACCTCCAATATCAGCATAAGTCTCCTGTGGAGCCTTCTCCAGCTTCATAACTGAGACCATAGGATCTGTATCATCACCCAAAACTCCTACTACAGCATGAACCTGGCAACACACATTGACTTGTTATAATTGGTAACTTATATCTACAAAATTTTCATTACCATCCAGAAGATATCCATATAATTAGATTGTTTTCAGTAGAAACTTCTTATGTCCACAAAGAAAAATGGAACAAATATAGCAACTAACTAAGCCCAAACTAACTTGTGTGCATCTAAAACTGAATTGTGAGGAACATTATACATTGTATCACATGTTCCTGCGAATAAATTTCTATTTCTATTTCTATTTCTATTAAAATAAAATAAACCTATTATTGTGAAACATTACACACAATTTTGTTAGTTTACGTCAAGTACCTGACAACAAATAAACATATTTGAAAATGTACAAAACAAGGGTAACAATAAATTAAAAATAGAACCTTATTAGAAGTTACCGTTTACCTTATGGTTCAAGAGCACTGAGCAGCCAGGCTCCAGCTGATCCTTGTCTACAAAGGACAAGATACTGACATAGTGCTCACTACCCACAGAGGTAGACACAATAGCATGGTTGTCATCAATGATTTCCTCCAAGTTGCCCACAGACATTGGAGTTCCTCTAAGGTCGTCCACCTGACAACATTACACATTCAAAAATTATAATTTACGTAAAGGTGAAAATTCAAATAAGATTTGGGACTCCAATTTTATCATATGTAACTCTACAGTGTAATGAATTGCTTTTTTTCTCTTTTCAAACAGTAGTTGTTCAAGACAAAGAAAACAATATCTCACCTTAGACCTTTCCTCTTCAATCTTTTCCTCCTGAGGCTTCAGTCTTTCTTGATTACGGATGAATTCCTCCTCCATAAGCAGGTAATCCTTGATTCTTTCTAATTTCAACAGCTTCAGTCTACACCGAGTGTGTGGTGTCACTTGAGGTAGTTTTAACGCAGCATCAGGTCCTTTAGCCTTGCGCTTCTTCTTACCAACCCTAGTGGGGATTGGAGGTTCATATTTCTTCTTCTTATCTTTGTCATCTTTTTTGTCTCCACCGCTGCCTCCGCCAGATTGATTCTGACCCTAATAGCGACACAGATTTAGTGGATTCTACTATGAACGAACTCAAAATATTTCAATGTAATTGATTGAATCTTATGGACAGTTGTCACTTACCATTATGTATTTTTCCTAAAACTCCAATTTAATATAAAATTCTAACTTATTTCGATCAAAATCAATGACTATGACTTCAGACACCGATGATTACAAAGCGGAATTTGTGGAACCACAGATGGTGTAAGAATATTGTCTTTTATTCTCTTTGACTTTTATTAGAGCTGTCTATGAACTATTTAAGTGAAGTCCACTTTGCATTTGCGGTAATTATCGTTTTTTTTTTAATAACGGAATTACCACTCTATAAAGAACCTGAAAGACGTTTTGTTAAATGCTGCATAAATTTTTAGTATGAATAATGTTTGTTACAAATGGTCTAACTTTAGTATAATATTACATATACACTTTAGATTTTTGTACATGCATCTAACATCGTCTCCCAATAAATTAGTTAGAAATTATATAAGTAACAAAACGTAACTTGACGTGTCTGATCGTCGTGTACGCCTCATGTCATTTTATGGTTTTTGTCGTATGGAGAAATACTTACGAAGTGGTGTTGTGTATTTTAAATAAATTATCTGAAACGTGCAGTTATTTGTTACTTTTATATCAATGACATCTTAAAATGTATCTGAAGTGTTTATATTTCAGGCTCTATTTTCGTTAAAATCAAGATTTTGTCCCAACAGCTGATGTCAAACATTTGGCAATAATCATAATATTGTAACCACGATTTACTAGTTTTCAAGATGGTTTTAGCGGATTTAGGTCGCAAAATTACCACTGCTCTGCAGTCTCTAAGCAGAGCTACCATCATAAATGAAGATGTAAGTTTTATTTACGAAAATAATATTGCAATCTTTCTACTTGAACAAATATTCATTGAATTGTAAATCACTTTCAGGTTTTAAATTCTATGCTAAAACAAATTTGCGCCGCTCTTCTGGAAGCTGATGTGAATATTCGTTTAGTGAAGAATCTCCGTGAAAATGTTCGCGCGGTCATTGACTTTGACGAGATGGCTGGTGGTCTCAACAAGAGACGGATGATACAGTCTGCTGTGTTCAAAGAACTGGTCAAGGTATGAGTACAAACATATTGTAATATTCTAATAAGACATTTGATTAAATACTAAATCTAAAAACAAAACATCAATGCTATTATATGTCTCGTAACTTGTGAACAGTTTAGAGAAAGTGTATAACTAAAAACAGATGATGTGAAAAATATTGTGATAATTTCAGCTGGTGGACCCAGGCGTGAAACCTTATCAACCAATCAAAGGCAAACCCAATGTCATCATGTTTGTAGGTCTGCAAGGTTCAGGGAAGACCACTACTTGTACAAAACTTGCATACCATTACTTGAGAAAGAATTGGAAATCATGTCTAGTCTGTGCTGATACATTCAGAGCGGGTGCCTATGATCAGGTCAAACAGAATTGTACTAAGGCCAGAATACCTTTCTACGGAAGGTAAGTTTTCTTTTTCATAGAAGTCTGAAATCATGACTATTGACAACTTCCTTTTTGAGAAACATTTTTTAAGTTTTTCTATAATCCCACCATTTATAACACAATCTTTTGATTTGTAACATATATGATTCCTAAAGTTTACAGTCACTTTAATCAATTACTCTATCTTTTTTCAGTTATACAGAAGTTGATCCAGTAGTGATAGCAACTACTGGTGTGGAAATGTTCAAGAAGGAAGGATTTGAGATGATCATTGTGGATACTAGTGGACGTCACAAACAGGAAGAGTCATTGTTTGAGGAGATGTTGGCTGTTGCTAATGCTATTGTAAGTTTCTTGCTTTGTACATACTTACAAGCCCAAACAGCTGATAGAATGTTGATGTGAAGATAGTTATATAGCTCTTAGCTTATATAGCTATTTGTAAAATCTAATGAAAATGTTGTTTACGGATTGTAAATGTTTTTCTAGATGATAAAAAAATTTCTGATAATAAAATATGCTCACTTTTTCAGAAACCAGATAACATAATATTCGTGATGGATGCTGCAATTGGACAGGCTTGTGAGGCCCAAGCCAGAGCTTTCAAAGATAGAGTGGACATTGGCTCAGTTATTATCACAAAGTTAGATGGACACGCCAAGGGAGGTGGTGCACTGTCAGCGTAAGTTTCTAGTAGCATGTATAGAATCTAATATTTATTTATTCACCACTTTGTGTAAAAACATACAGAAGTGGATCAATGCCAGATGGAAATCAACTGTGAATCTGTGATACAAATGCATGTCAATACTATATAGGTTTATTAATTTGCCATAACATTTATCATTATTTAGATATTTAGATATTTTATGTATTAAAATTTCAAAAACAATTATTTTTTCTCTAGTGTTGCAGCCACACAGAGTCCTATCATTTTCATAGGTACTGGAGAACACATTGATGACCTGGAACCATTCAAAACAAAACCTTTCATCAATAAACTACTCGGCATGGGAGACATTGAAGGCCTTCTGGATAAAGTGAATGAGCTCAAACTGGATGATAATGATGAATTATTAGAAAAACTCAAACATGGACAGTTTACATTACGTGCTATGTATGAACAATTCCAGAACATTATGAAAATGGGCCCTTTTTCACAAATTATGGTATGTTCTAATCTGAATTATTTTTTTTTGTTTTTGGTTTGAGTTGTATTTGTAACTTGTTGGTTTGAGTTATAATGGCATTTGTATAAAAATATTTACACTTTCAACAGGGCATGATCCCAGGATTCTCTCAGGATCTAATGTCAAAAGGCAGTGAACAAGAATCAATGGCTAAACTGAAGCGTCTTATGACCATTATGGACTCTATGAACGAAGGAGAGCTGGACCATCGTGATGGCGCCAAACTTTTCTCGAAACAACCCACCAGAATCACGCGAGTTGCGCAAGGCGCGGGTGTCACGGAAAGAGATGTAAAAGATTTGATTGCACAGTACACTAAGTTTGCAGCAGTTGTGAAAAAGATGGGAGGTATTAAAGGATTATTCAAAGGAGGTGACATGGCAAAGAATGTTAACCAAACTCAAATGGTTAAACTGAACCAACAAATGGCAAAGATGATGGACCCACGCATCTTACAGCAGATGGGTGGCATGACTGGGCTCCACAACATGATGAGGCAGTTGCAACAGGGCTCCAGTGGGATGAATAGTTTAATGGGTGGCAAATGACACTAGCTTTAGATTCTGCCATAAGCCAATCAAAAATATTTGTAATTATTAAAATGTATTTTAACCAATAAAGGTGGATAATTGTTTTTTTTATTTTAATTTTTTTCTGTAAAAATTAAGAACTATTGTAATAACATTGACTTGTTAGTTTCATACAACATAGAATAGTGTGTACAATATTGAACTCTATTTTATTTTACAAGATTACAAAATATACCGATTCGGTTGTGATTATGGTATCGGTGTTTTATTTTATGCAAAAATACTAATTTTGCAGGGCACTGGTATAACTCACAGTTTGGAACTTTGGGAGTATAACTTGAGGCGAAGAGTTCAGTAATACGAGTACTAACCTATCAAGAAGTTCATTTTGAGTTTATATTTAAGTATAGGTACTATATTGTTAAATGAACTAGTCATACTGTGGACCTCTGCCCAACCCTTTAAAATGTGTAATGTAATAATCTTTGTTACGAAAGTCTGAATACACCAAGTAATATGCGATGAGTTTGAGTTTTTAAGTAATATATTTGAGTTTTTCTTATAAGATTCTTACATTAAAATATTTCTTTTTAGTATATTAAAAAATATATATAATAGTCAGTCAAAAATTAATTTAGTGATAATGATGGCTGTCTTACCTCACCTCTACGACAATATAGTCTGTGTTATTCTATTTATCGAATGACAGATTGACGCAAATTAACGTCATTGTCATCTGATTTTGACATATTTATGTTAGTTACAATCAAGATTTTATTATTGCCTGGGGTTAAGGAATAAATTACCTATTTCTAACGTTAAATAGCGTTATGTACACTATATGTCTAGAAATATTCAAGCTTGGTAGAATCTTTCCAAAAAGGGTAATTATTTTAGGTTATAAAACAATCCACTTTAAGTAGGTTAGGAAGGTGCTCAGTTTCTTGTAAAATCAATTTTACATAGCAACTATCATTGAAAATTTATTAATTGAGCTGTTGCTTTTATGTTTTAAGACTATCATTATATATATTTATTACCTTTCAGACATACTCAACACTAAACAAGACAACGATTTTACGCCGCAGTAGTCGATCGAAAATGGATGAAGAATTAAAATGTCGTGAAAATCCAGTCGTGTTACGTTTAGACTCGACAGAATTCCAGAGTATCTTTAGCCCAGAAGTTTTGGCATTAAAGAATATATTTGATAAATATAAATATGAAATAAGAATAGCCGGTGGTGCAGTAAGGTAGTAATAGTCATTATGTTGTCATATTTACATAGCATTGCATAAGTATTTCCTAGAATGGTCTTTGTACAATAAAATTACATTAAAGCTAATTAAAATTACATAATTGCAATAATATGAAATGTTCACAGGGATCTCTTGATGGGTCTAAATCCAAAAGATCTCGATTTCGCAACAACAGCAACACCACAACAAATGAAAGATATGTTTACTACTGAAAATATTAGAATGATAAATGCTAATGGAGAGAGGCATGGCACTATAACAGCCAGGATTAATGACAAGGAGAGCTTTGAGGTGACAACACTGAGGATAGATGTACTCACCGATGGACGCCATGCAGAAGTAGAATTTACTACAGATTGGAAACTTGATGCCAATAGGAGGGATCTTACAATCAATTCCATGTTTCTTGGTAAGCAATGGAACTTATTTTTGTATATTTAAGTATCATCCTTCATAAATGATATTGTTCTTAGGCTTGGATATAAATTAATTATTGTTTTAGGTTTTGATGGCTCAGTGTATGACTATTTCTATGGTTATGAAGATTTAAAAAAAAGAAAGATTGTCTTTGTTGGTGACCCTGATAGAAGAGTCAAAGAGGATTACTTAAGAATAATGAGATATTTTCGTTTCTATGGAAAGATAGCAGATAAACCTGACAATCATGAGGAAAATACCCTTAAAGTTTTGAGAGATAATGTGAAAGGCCTTCAAAACATATCAGGGGAAAGAATTTGGGTGGAATTAAAAAAGATGCTGCAGGGTAATTTTGCTGGTAATCTATTGAAGACTATGATTGATGTGGGTGTTGGCGAATACATAGGTAAATATTTCTTTATTAACAGTTCCAACTCTCTCAGTAAAATTATGAATATGTAGTAACTAATAACAATATGCCCTGCAGGTTTATCAGCATCTCCAAATGTAGAGGAACTGGAGAGATTGCTAAAAAGAGCTGAACACCTGAACTTGCATCCAATTTCTTACTTAGCAGCCCTCCTAACAGATCTGGATGAGGTTACAGTTCTATACAACAGGCTCAAATTCTCTGGTTATGATAGAGATCTTGCTTACTTCCTGGTGGAACACAGAGGAGACAAGGAAGGCAGCAGACCATTATTGTGAGTTCACTTATCATTACTTACAAGATGATCAGTTTTAGATTGTGTCTATGCCAACTATTTTTTTTTTTTTGTTTACAGACCATATGAAAAACTAGTATTGAATTCCAAAATAAAACAAAAGGATGCAATTGAATATGTAAAGGAAGTATTAAAATACAGAGGAGATAAACTCTTTGATCAGTTCAGTGAATGGACAGTACCCAGGTTCCCAATTAGTGGTAAAGTTTTAAAAGAAGCTGGAGTCCCACCTGGAAAAATGTATGGACCTATCATTAGCAAAATCAAAGATATTTGGATTGAGAGTAATTACAAACTATCAGAAGCAGAACTAATTAAACACATCCCCGGCATTATAGAGGAATTTGATAAAAATAAATTAAAACCATAAGAGACTAAGATGTTTCATTTATCATTTCTATATTAGAATATAATTTATGAATTATATGGAATATGTACAATATCTATGATATAATAATCATTTACATACTTGCAAGGACTTAAAAATAACAATTTCAATAATTTTTATTCTTTGGCGCTTCATAAGGTTCATATCTATCACAGCCATCATCATCATCCTTGTGATCTAAAAAGCATCTCTTGCAGAACAGATATCGGCATCCAAGGCACCTCATCCTTGCATCTTCATTGCAAATCTCACAAAATGGTAGTTCATCACATGGAGGGGTCTCATCTTCGAAAGTTGCCTCTTTCTTAATCTACAACATAATTTTAGTATTTATTTGACTGAAAACTTAACACAAGACGTAATTTAATGAAAAGTAAGATTGCTAGTTGCAAAGCAAATAAGTCAGTGGTAAGATTAAAAGTGTTTGAAGTTGCTACTACCTTTTCAATAATTTTTTTGACACTGGTTTCCTCATCCTCCGATTCATCACTTTTCTCCTCTGGTTTGCTTTGTGCCACTGCTACCGGAGCAAGTTTTGAACCTTTAAGTTTCTGCACCCGAGACTCAATACTGCTGATAATCCCATCAAATTCATCTTGGTATTTAGTATCAATGCCAGTTTGTTCAATGTATTGTTTTACTAGGTCATCTGCTTGCTGTTGCTCTGTTCTTGTGTCAGGTGGAGGTAATACTGGCTGAAACAAAACACCTCTAATTGATGAGCATGTAAATTTTCCCATTTGTTGATTCGTCTCTGCCAAAACCAATGGGATTATGGGAGACAGACACAACAAAATGTATGTAAACAAAATATTACTGTAGTAATAAATTGCTGTTTTATGTAATCTTTTTCAAAATACCTTAGCATTAACTACTTCAACAGGGACTCCTCTCAATTTTGCCAGTCTGGAATATATTTCTGCGTCTGAAGTAGTGGGTGTTTCACCTTTGATATTCTGGAGACGGTTTTTGATTTCTTCATCTTTAGTTAAAGGTGTACTTTTACCTTCTTTTAACTTTTGTAATCTTTCTAATATTTCCTGGTTTGCTTGCTTTTCGCCCATGGCATCTAATCTCCTGAATAACAACAATTGTTGATATTAGCTAATTTTTTTGTTTAAACTTTCTTAACTCTTTCAGTCACACTTTTAACTGGTTACAAATAAATTTTATTTAATTATACTGAAATGCTTAAAAACTAATGAATAGTAATTTGAAGCATACTTCAAAAATTGAATTTCTAAGAAAAGGTGGTTAGCTACAGTGACCACCAAGACTGAAAGAGTTAATTGTTATATAGAATATATATTTACCTATAGTATGCATTGGGTGCTTCTACTGTTTTAGGTTCACTAGGTTTAGCATTAATGTTTTTACATTTTGCACATACCTAAAACAGAATATACTATTAAACAGTGGTCTTAGTTATTTTAGAGAAATTTCAAACCGTATGAGTTATGCAGCTATGAATTACAAATTGCAGATACTTGTCTGACCTTGGATTCCGCATTTAATTTTGGTAAGAACATTTTGTTATCCAAACATTTTGAGCAGTAACTGAAGCCGCAACTGGGACATCCTTTCTGCAAAATATTAGAGTACATAACATTTATTTACTATACAAATATACAAAACAATTATTGTTCATCAAAGTTCGTCTAGACAAATAAATACCTCTTTACGAAGTAAATTAAACGGTTTTGTGCAGGAATTACAAGACATCTTTCAAGAGAATTATCGACTTATTGAAGAGCTTTTAACTTCAAGTTTTTGGTGTTGCTTATAAGGTTTTACAATTTTTTTTATGTGACAGTATCAAGTAAACAAGTTTAGTACCTTTGGGAGGTTTGTTATTTTTTGTCAAATGAATCATCTGTCATTGTCATTCATGCATTAATGCCATCGTGATGCCATCGTGATTCGCTATGAACATGAACGACGACGATGACATCGTCAAAGTCGCGGGGACCCAGTGGAAGCAGTTGTCTTTCGACGTGGGGTAGTGGACGTCTTCCGGCTGTTTGATGATGATGACGAATGTCGTGATTGTCATGAGCATATTAGTCACAATCTGAATAATTCTAATCAATAAGTAATTCATACTGTGACACTAGTATATTCTGTGGTAAATGGATGTTGTCATTGGCATATTATTCATTCTCAATATGTCACAAATGTCATTATTGTCAATCTCATTCCAAAGTTTTTTCGTATTGGATAAGTCGTGCTCGTGCATTGTGTTGTGTTATTGTTTACAAACAACTTTTTTTTAAAACGAACTTTAGTAACAAACAAGATGCACCTTAGAAACATATTGCCTCCTAATATATATGACGTAATTGACAGAGCCGGAATATCAACGGAGAGACAAATAATTCTTTTGTCAATTTGGGATATCAAGAAATACACTAATTTGAATTTAGACGATATCTTGTTGCTCAAAAATATCGTGACTGAAAACGTATGCCCTACGATTACTACGGGTAAAGAGGAACTGAAGAAGTTTAATTGTAATAAAGCAGGAGTGCTAACAGGTTGTACTGGAATAGATAACTTGTTGGCAGGTGGCTTTCGCAGAGGCACATTAACAGAAGTGTTTGGTGAAAGTGCCAGTGGAAAGACCCAGTTAGGTCTACAATTAACACTTAATAATTGGGCGAAGGGATGTGTTTATATCTGTACAGAAGATTTGTTTCCAACCAAAAGATTTGAGGAAATGAAAATATCTCTTCCCCAGTTTGACCCAAGAATTGACTATGGGAAAAATATATTTGTGGAACATATAACAGAAGCAATAGATCTATTGTCTTGTTTAAGGGTTAGATTGCCCAAGTTACTAGAACATCATAAATTAGCTCTTATAGTGATTGATTCTATTGCAGCACCATTTAGATGTGAAAGTAATAACTATGTGAAGAGAGCTGAAGATTTAAGAGAAGTTGCTATTCTTTTAACATCAATGGCCCAAAAGTTTGACTTAGCCATTCTGTGTATAAACCAAGTCACAGCATCTTTTGAAGACTCCAACAGTGTTTTGCCAGCATTAGGCCTGGCATGGTCTAATATGGTTACTACCAGGCTCATGTTAAAGAAGACTTTAAATGTATTAGATGGTAAAAGTCTCGCAAACATTAGCAATCAACAGATTGCTGATCATCATAAAACTTATATTAGAGAACTGCATGTAATGTTCGCTCCTCATTTATCCAATATGATGGCACAATTCATTGTTACAGCATGTGGTATACAGGACATTCCTAAATAAAAACATTCCCTTATAAATCTACCTTCTTTTATTGTATCAATTCAAAAAACATTAATGGCTTCTTAGACCTTCTTTGTCTGACTCACTTGGGTAAAAACTATTTTCATTATCAATATGAGACGGTCCTTGGATATTTATTATAATGACGATATACTAATCAAAGTAGGCAGACAAAATTCCTCCGCCCATCTACCCCATCTATAACATAGTATTGAGCAAATAGTTTAATAAGTATAATTGAGTCATGAGTAGGTATCGTTAGTTTAATCTCAATTAATGTGGGACACTACAGATTTGCTAGTAACCAAAACGTAATTTAGTAATGTTACTAAAGTACGCCACTAGATACTTAGTAGACTTATGTCAAAATTAATCAGCTGACAATTTGAAATGACATCAGACATTGACAGATCTTGACAAATCTAATAAGCTCTGTCATAGTCTCAAACTTGAAAAACAAATCAAGTTTACTTAAAACTGAATGGATAAATGCAGAATCAAATAATGAATTTCTAAAGATTATCTTACCAAAACTTACTATACCTATTACTGTAACAAAACTCTCAACCGGCCAATATCTAACCTTAACCAATGTTGACGAATCGCTTTTTGTTAGGTAGCATTCGCTCTATAGCGATACACTTTCACCCCGCAGGGTCGAAGCCTGCGCTCAATGCCAGCCGGACCACCGCGCGATACGCTAGTGTTTCGTCAGCCTCGCCCAATAGGAGGAAAATGGTGCGTTATTATTATTATAGGTACATCTCCTATGGTTTTAGAATTTATTGGGTGATTTGTGTGTTAAAAAATATTGTGTTTTTGTAGGCAGATAAACTGACCCAAGAAGAGCGCGACACGCAGCTCCAGCCATTGTTGCAGTCTGGTTGGAAAGTGCAAAATAACCGGGATGCAATTGAGAAAGAATTTCAATTCAAGGATTTCAACCAGGCCTTTGGCTTCATGACTAGAGTAGCACTGCTGGCTGAGAAAATGGATCATCACCCAGAGTGGTTTAATGTCTATAATAAACTTCAAGTAAGTAATTACTATGTATTATGTAGGCATACACATATTATGGGCTTATAAATAGGTACCTATATATATCAGGTAGGCACTTGATTTGTTGTAATGATTGATAGGTAATTAAATATTTTAAGTTGTGGCAACTTTTGATTTTATGTTAGAGTAATTAATGTTCATTAGATTTGGTGATTTACTTGTGAAATAACATTAGTTATGGACTTTAGATTCAAGGTTATGATAAAATCAAATAGGTAGCATAAAAATGAGTCATTATTATAAATAAATACCTAATATTATTTGTCTTAATATTTATCAACATAATACTAATAATACATTATTCCAGGTTACCTTGTCTTCTCATGATGTTAATGGGCTTAGCAAGAGAGATATTAGAATGGCAACATTTATGGACAAAAACTACAGTAACTAAGTTAAACTGTCAAACACCAAGCGGTCACCGGTGACCGCAACCTATTGTTCTATAATTGTGTCTATAAAACCGGTACTCGACGAGTTAATGAACATGTATATGCAGATGGTAAATATTTACATATAATGTACTCTTTATCTAAAGATATTATATAAAAGCCTAGTTGTTATAATGTTATGTTGCTCATTGTATTTATGTGATGTGTGAGTTGGAAGACAATAAACTGTGTAATATATTTTTAACAGCACAATCATTTTGTTTTATTGTTACAACAATCTAATTTCTTTACCCAGATATTCGTTCTGTAAGCAAGAAATTATTTTACTATCCTAACATTGCACCTTTAATTCACAAAGAGGTTGTTTGTGACATAGGTATTGTTTTAAATAGGTATGTACATATTAGGCTTAGGCTTCAACACGGGGTTTTCCCGCGCGCGGTTAACCACCCTAACTGCATACCATGCATAATATGTAATTATTATATAGAATTGTCGACTAAAAGAACCAGATAAAATGTAAAAAATAGTGTCAAGTGAAACTGCTTTCTTGTAAGTGTAACGAGTTACGCAAACAGTTACGCAATCCATTAAGTAAGAAGTCGGTTAACAATAAAATCGAGATCACTTGCTTTTAAATTCAAATACATATTATCGCACAACTTATTACCTACATGAAATTAATTACTTTGAAAATAGGAGAGGTCCCGTGTTTGCGCGTGCAAATCGAAATTGCCTGTTAGACTGGGTATTGTATTCGTTACACGATTTAATGCGTTTTATGACGAAATGTCAAAATCCCGGTTTTTTTACTTATTACGGTTTATTACTAAAGGTGCAAAATAGTGAATTAAAAAAATGGTTGGCCAATGGCCATCACTCTCAGGGATTTCGATAAAAATATTACGGTTGTAATTAGCTAAGATACTAAAAGCTCGAAAGGATAATGATGACGCTAATTTTTGTTAAATGAATCACTTGAACAAAGAACGCGGCCGCATAGATTCTGCGAAGCAATGGTTCAAAAGGGAAATAAACATATTCCGTGATATTGTAACGACTTGAAATAAAAGAAACAACAGTTCCATTTGTACAATAATTTTTACTTGTTGTATTATTAACTGGTTTACAATATTTAACATCTTTTGAACATTCTTCTAAACTTTCAATTCAATTTACGACGCTTTTTTTATGTAGCAAGGACAAGTCCTCTTATCATTGAACGGTTCATTTTCGAAGACGGAGGTACATGGGTAAACTCGTTCTATAGTCCTTTTTAATTCTAAAGCATGTGCTAAACCTTTCGCTTCGCAGACCATTTTCATCTAGGAATAAAAAAATAAAAAGAGGCTATTAGATTGAGATTGCACACGTCACGCACGAGATGATGTGTGAAGAATCATCCTTCAGCATGAATGGGACACAAAATAAAAAGAGTAGAGACTTAAAAAGCCATGCTACGGCGGATTAAAACATTACTTGTGTTGTGTTTCGCCGTGTAACTGAGGTTACCGGAGCCCCGATCCCCTTCTAAATATTTGGTAACGCTGAATTGCTCTGGCCAAATCTGGTGTTGTGAGTATCTATGGGCAGCATTAATTATCACCAGGTGATCCCTCTGTTCGTTTGCTTCCCTAACTCATCAAAATAAGGTTGCATTTAAGAATGAGTACAAGCCTTAGTAAAATTTCTGCAGCATTATCCAGATCTAAGGGAATACAAACATTTTACGTGTGTTTATGATTGTATTGTTTTCATAACGTAAACTTACCTCGACATAGTATTCCTCACCCTCTGTCCAACTATTGTCTTGGAAATGACGATGAATATTATACCCTCCACTTGAGATTAATGACATTAAATTAGATTTAGAAACCGGGTCGTTACGTACACCAACCTACAATCATTGAAGCAAAAGTTAAATTATATTAATTTATCGCAATAATGGTCGTTAATAAATATTTCGTCATTAAATGCAACAACAATCTTACCCTAAATATAACTAATCGACCTTCGGAGGCTAATCCTCTTTCCATGCAGCGGTTCAGCAGTATATTATCAACATTACCTCCGCTTAGAATACAGACCACACTGCAAGCAACAATAAATAGGTATTGTTATTAATATAATTTTGTGTAGGTGGGTACAATTGATGAACAAGTACGTTATGTTAGTAGGTACTCACTTAGCATCATAGCCTGTACGTAGGGGGGTGCCGTCCAGAAATTACGTCACACGTTAAGGAGTACGGAGTGGGTCGACGAAGTGTGACAAGGGGGAGGGAGGGATCCTAAACTTTGTGATGTCACATAAAATATACCTAATGGTATTAATCTTTTTTATTTTGTTGGATTTGTAATTAATATATTTTTACATAACATAAC